TAATCTGCTGAATATTCAAGAATGCCACTAGTATTACCAGCATGAACACTCATATTATGGCTATTACGAGTATAAATAGTCCTATTTCTAATAATATTGACATTAATACTGCTACGAACACCAATAGTATATTCATATTGATATGATGACTAATATCATTACTAATAGACACCTGCATATACTAATGTACATAAAATACATACCACTATCTTAAGATACAGATATATACGTCAGTGCATTCATGTATTAATGCTTTGGCATAGGCATATGCCCATATACCAATGTATCAATATACCTCTCGTTGTTGTATGAGTATACTACACGAATATGTGACTGTACTCATATACGGCTACTGCACTATGCAAGAATACCGACATGACAAGTTCGTATACCAATCCAATATGCCAACATACTGATATACTTATAAATGATTAGATAAAACAGTCATATAGTACACATACTCGTACACTAATATGCTAACGTTCGAATATACTGGTATGTCAATATACTAGTAAGCTAGTACAGCAGTATAGTAGTGTATTCATGCACCAGTTGTACTAACATGTAAAATATACTAGTATACAAGTATGCAAATATTTTACTGTTCGAATACATTGATGTACTGATATACTCATCTGCTAATATACGAGACTATCAATATACTAACATATCCAAACTAACTAGTTCTAATATTGATACTAATACTAGCACTTCTGCGAATATAAGCTGCTGTTAAACCCAGCATTAAGACTGATACTGATACTACTCGTAGCAGTGGTGCTGTATTACTGACATTGACACTGGCACTAGCGCTAACTCTAACACGAACATGAGCACTAACACTAATTTATAGTTGGCAATATTGATACGTATACTTACAGCAAACAATAGTACTAATATTAATAATAATACTCACCCTAATACCGATACTACCACAAGACTGTTACGTAACTCATGTGCCGCACGTCTGGTGCTATACTATGTACCTCATGTAAAGGTTTTGCTTCATAGAATATCGTCGTGCACGGTGTTTTTTAGACCCGCGGTCTGTCAACGGGGGGGAGGGCAATTTTCAGACACGGTTTTGGCAAAGTTCAAGAATAAGGAACCGCGTGTTTCTGAAACAACATCGGCACGCTGCATTTGGGTGTGGTTGCTGGTTGTTGTTTGTCTACTTCAATACACGTTGCCATATGCATTCAAATTTAGAAAGCGCGTAGAAGTGCATGGTGATTTTACGGGGGGAGTTGGCAACATGGCCTGGCTTGGCTTGCGCAGGGTTGGGGGAGACAGATAGAGTCAGATAGAGATGACCGTGTGCACTTAGATGGCATTTAGAAATGCATCTTAGATGGCATCTAGAAAATGCATGGCGATCCTGTGGGGGAGCTTGGCAGCACGGCTTGGCTTGGCTTCGGCGGGGGTGAGGGGGGAGGGTTTCCTTCCTGAAAATATTGAGCTCTTCTCTATTCCTTGAGTTTTCCCGCGTAGGTTCACGAATTTCCCTACACAGTTGCTGAACATAGCGCCGTGAAAGAGCCAGCACCCTACGTATGTATATACATATATATATAATTAGAGAGAGAGAGAGAGAGAGAGAGAGAGAGAGAGAGAGAAACGGGGGGTTGTACTTTGTATAGCCGAGCCTTTCAGTGAAGGTCGAAGACCCGGAGGGGATGCAAGACCATCCGGGAAACGCGGGTGTGCGGTCCGCACGGGGGGATGGCCCAGGACGCTGGCCTGAACCCCAAGCCCGGTAGAGAGAGAGAGAGAGAGAGAGAGAGAGAGAGAGAGAGGGAGAGAGACGGAGAGAGAGAGAGAGAGAGAGCCGCGAGTGCTCAAGGCTTGGCCGCCTCCATCTAGCCCGGCTCGTCTCCTTTCTTTCCTCTCTTCTGCCTTCTCTGCTAGGGGGCGGCAGGTCTTCAAACCAGGGCCTGCTCCATCCTGACAGGGCCTTCTCCACAGCCATCAGCGACGGGGGCGACATCGCCTAGATTGAGCTCTTCACCGCGGGGGTGCGCGGGGGGGACATCGTAACGGACGGTCCACCTCGGGATCGGCGGCCTATATCCACCCCCTTCGGGAGATTAACATCCGCTACCACAACAATATCGGCGACCCTACGCGAGGGGTACCACATTCCGGTGATTCTGCCCAAGAGCTACCTCGAACGGGGAGTATACCAACTACCTGATCGTGATAGTGGCAGGGAGGCGAAGAGATCTTCACCTACGTGTGGGGGCAATGACAGAGCCCATGCAGTCGGACCCTCAGAGCCCGCAGCCTAAGAAGCGGGGGGCACCCGATGATGAAAAACTCAGCCTGGAAGAAATTCAAGAAGTGGTCAGGAGCGAGGTGGGGGGAAGCACCGCCACCCTACGTGCAGAGATCGGACAGCGGATGGACAGAGTGGAGACGGGGGTCACGGCACAGCTGGAAAGACTCTCGAACGGCTGGCCGCGATCAACAACCAACAACTTGAGCAGCAGAGGACAGTGGAAAGCATCCAGGGGGAGCAGTATGCCATGAACACCAGACTTCAGGCCTTGGAGACCAAGGTCCAAGTGCTCCAGACGACGGGACCGCGAGCACGGCGGATACGGATGCGGGGAGCAGAAAACCAGCGCTCATTATGGGCGGGTGGGATGATGACACCCCGGCGGAGGAGACCTTAGCCAAGATGAAACAGATTGTTAAAGATCTCCGCCTGGATATCTGCACCGAGCAAGCGTTCGTACCGGGGGTGAGGCGTGGATACGCCATCATCCCCTACACGGCTAAGGAGGGGGAGGACCCGCAACAATCGCGGGAGAGACTGTCGGGGGCGCTGCGACGAGTCAGACAAGCCAATGTGCAGATGGGGACGCACGCCGACGGGAAGGCAAAGTACCTCTGGCTGCAGCTTTCCCAGTCCCCGGAGCGCAGGCGCCGTGTGCAGCTTGGGGAAGTGCAAACGACTGTGCCTTGCCATGGGGGCACCGCTCAACCGTGTGGAAGCAGAGTGGCCAACTGGAACCGTTCGGCTCTGGGGGGTGCGCGTGTGCTCGGCTACCACGACCAAGCCACCTGAAGCAGAAGACGCGAGGGCGGGCTGGATCAACCTCAAGGCCATCGCTCGGGGAGTCAGCCAACCAGCGCGAGACGTTGAAGAAGACTGGGGGGGCTCAAGACAGCCCTACGCTGAGGAACCGAGCCGACCGAGAACAGCGGCGAAGGAGGACAAGACGACCTCCTCGTGCCGGAGTTTCACGGACTTTCTCAACCCCCAAAAGGGGAGCCGCGACCGACCTTCAACGTCGCAACCTGGAACGTGGGCGGCCTCACAGCTGCAAACGCACTTGAGATGCTGCAGGCGTTCGGGGGGAACAAAGTACTCTCCTCAGTTGCTGTTGTTTTCTTTCAGGAAGTTTTATCACTGAAGCAGGTAGGCATTTTGCCTCGAACAAGTCATGGGTCATAGTGTTCGGCAAGCTGGTGGGGGAATGGCGAGGGGAGGGGGTGGCTTTTAGAGCAGGACTCGGCACGCACACAGCCACGCAAGTCCTACGTGCGGGGGTGGCCACCATTCTCACCATGCACACGGGGAAGAAGTGGGGGTTGCTCAGCGCGCACATGCCCCACCACGCCACGATCCCTAGAGCGGAAGCCATCATGTTGCAATGGGGGGCGAGCAAAGCACTCCGCACCAGCAAAGCCATCATCGGTATGGATGCCAACGAGCAGTTCACAGCGTCACCGCACACGCCACAGCAGGAGACAGGGGCATACAGGAAGGGGGGAAAGCATACTGGCATGGCTCCAACACCACAGCATGCGACTACCGCCACAGGACCTCACAGCTCCCAGCCACTACCCCACCACGCAAGACCCCCAGGCGGCTGGACTATGTGGCAATCCGGGGGGTGTTTTCTGTGGGGGGAAGTGCTTCCAGCCAGGGACATGGCACGCTCGGACCACGAGCCGGTCCTGCTGCAACTTCGGGAGGAAGCCCCGAGGCTCGCCAAGCCACAGGACAAATGCACCGGGGGATCGACATGGGCAAATTGCACATGTGAGCCAGCTCATCACAAGACCGGGGAGAAGCAAGCAAGCCAAATTCGTGCAGAGCACAGACCTCAAACAGGCACGCCGAACAGTACACGCCACAGCGCCTGGCCAAGATAGAAGACAAGCCTGGAGGGGGGTCCACAAGAGGTTGCGCGCAGAGCAGAAGCAGTGGCGGCAAGCAATCGCGGACAGCGCCAGCCAGCACGACGGCAACACAAGAGGGGGGCCGGGGGGGACCAGTGGATGGCGGCCCTTACAGACAACCACGATTGGCAAGGAGCGCTGCTGGCACACTTCAAAGGCATCTTCCACAGAGCAGATGGGGGGCCAGAGACGCAGACTTCGAAGCAAGGCGGCAAAGGTTGTGTCACCGTTGCAAGCAGACCCGGTGGCTCCCCTTCACACAAGACGAGCTGCAAGCAGTCGCGGGGAGGTGGAAGAGCAGCAAATGCACCGGGCCAGACCGCATAGCACACGAAGGCCTCCACACACTCCGCCAGCAACCCGTGTGGGAGAACAGGTTGTGAGGGATGTTGAATGAAGCGCTGTACATGGGGAACTTGCCAGCAGCAGTTGAACGGGGGCTCACAGTCCTCCTCCCAAAGGAGACGCAGCCGCAGGGATGGGGGGAGACCAGACCAATCACTTCAAGCAGCACGGTCCTTAAATTTTAAGCGATTGCCCAGCTGCTTCACACTGACAGTGCGCGTCTCCGGGGAGGCAAAAGGCGCGGAGCTTATCCTGGCGCTGCGGAAGGTAGCTTGCGAAAGCTTTTGATTCGGTGGCGCAAACCAGCCTTGCAGACCTTGTCGAGCGGCGAATGGGGGAAGACCACCCGTGGGAGGCCCGGCTGCGGATGGCACTTTTGCAGGCGAGGGGGGTTACAGGGCGGCGGGGGGAACGAAACCAAACAAACGGCGTGCGTCAAGGTCTGCCAGACTCTCTCGGCGCACATGGGGGAGTGCCTCGTGAAGACTTTGGCCCAAACGCAGCAACAGCCCCGTGGGGGAGATGCACCCAGACTGCCACCCCCCGCCCCACCATGGGGGGAGCTTTACCATCTCCAACGGACCCTGGACATCCTGCAGCGCCTTTTGCTTGAGCACGGCCTTCGGATCAACCCCAAGAAAACCACGAGCATCTGCAGCACAGATGATCCCGGAAGATTCCACATTGATGGGGAATGGGTCACACCGCAATCGGGGGATGCGGCACTCACGGTGCTAGGGTCACCAGTCAGCTTCCAGGGGGGACCACCGCAACTTGCAGCCGAAATGGGGACGAGAGCAAGGAAGGCCTGGGGGAAGAACGAAGCACTACTCACAGCCAAAACCAAGCTGAAGCAGCGCTTGCAACTTCACAACATATACTTGTGCGCCAGAGTGCACTCTGGGCGGCTGAAACATGGCCAGTACAGGACACGCTCCTGCGCGCAGCCAACGTACAACAACTGCAGCACGTGCGCAGTATGGTGGGGGGGGGCGCGTGCACCGGGGGAGGCGTGGGCGGATTGGAATAAGAGAACCCTCCGCGTGGCCAGAGTCCACCTGTACAAGCACAAAGTTGAGAGGTGGTCCACCTACATACTGCGTATGATTTGGGGAGTTTGGGGGCATGTTGCACGTGCACAAGACGTTACGTTCGAAATGCTGATGTGGAGGGGGATGGAATGGTGGTGGCAGCAGCAAGCCCTGCCCGACACAATCGGGGCGAGACACGCGAGCAGGTTCAACAGCAGCCTCGACACGGAACGGCACATAGCAGCCATTGCGGGAGCCAGGTGGGGGGAGGTTGCCCGAGACCGCCTCGCGTGGGAGGCCTTGGAGGAGCGATTCGTTGAGGCACATGACCCACCCTGGTGCTCAGGGAAACAAGCACAACTGCAGAACCTGGCACAGACAAGACAGGCCAAAGCAATCAAAGAGTGGAGGCAGGCAAGAAGGGCAGGCAACAGACTGCTCAACTAGCCTGAGTGAAGGCTAACGCCTGAGAAGGCTTCGAGCCGTTTTTGCCGGTACCCTTCCCAGATCGAAACCACAGGGGGGAGCGGCCGTTTGCGAGCACCCCACCACAGTACCTACACTTCTCACTCTTTCCTGAGGCTCCCTCAACTCTTCGCCTCACTCCTTTTCTTGGTCTTCTGCAAGAGCGAGAGAGTGAGGGAGCTGAGCATGTGCAACTTTCTTTCTGCAGCATCACACATGTTTTTCAGTTGTTTTTGCAGTCTTGTGCAGCAGCCGGGGACGCACCTGACAGTGACGTGGCCGCCCCGCCGCAGGTCAGGCCCGAGCCTCAGCAGCAGTCAGTTAGCACCACCGCTAGCCTGTGAGGGCAATGGAACGACGAGGAGCAAAAGTCAACCGGGGGAGGCTGTTCCTCCTGGCGCTGATGAGCTACACGCTCACCAACTGTGTCGTGAAAGCGACGCAGCAGGACGGGCAGCCAGCAGCGAGGCCAGCCAACGCAAGAGGAGCAGTGAGGATGGGAAGACCGCAGGAAGCGGGGGAGACCACCTCGACGTCTACCACGCAAGCAGCCTCACACAACCGCCGCCGTTGCCGCAGCCAGCCGAGGAACATGCACCAGAAGGACAGGGGAGCAGCAGCAGCAGCGGCCCAGGGCAGAGCGAGGCATATGCCGGCGTGTGGCCGCAACAGTGGTCGGACGCAGCGTCCAGCACCACTTACTTGGTCGGGCTGGGTCCACGGAGCCGACGCGGGAAGATTCGCCCTGATGTACGACCCGGACACAGACCCCTGGCACCAGGACATGGCACCCCAACAGGTGCATCCACAGCCCAGCGGAGGATGTCACCCAACACCACCAGCCGGGACAGCAACGGCCAGCGAGGAGACGGCAGAGACAACCTTACCACGACGCAACACAGGGGGAACACCCCCACAACAACTGCAACCGCAGCCGGCAGAGGACCGAGACAGGACCACCGCAGCCACAGCCACTAAACGAGGACACTACTTGCACGGCAGAGCAGACTGGGGAAGCATGCCCCAACCCAGCAGAAGATAACAAGCCGGCCGATCAAGCAGGGGGACCGGCACCACAAGCACCGCAACCACACGAGGAGCTGGAACACAGCCCAGAGCAGAGAGACGCAACAGCAACTGGGGGAGACACAAGTGAAAGCCAGCCGCGGGGGACATCCCAACATGAAGGTCAGGGCGACAAGCGACGCGGCAATAAGTGGCAAAAGTCGGCGATTAAAAAAGAGTTCAAACAGAGAGGACTCGTGAAGCCGGCGGGGAGACCTAGTTGGCGTGCAAGCTTTTGGCCCAGACGGGAAGGACGATGAAGAAGACGACAAGGCGGGGGGGGGGGGGGCTCAATAAACCAGGGGTGGACGGGCGGGCTGAAAGCTTGAGGGTCACAACGGTGACCCCTAAGCCCGGCAGAAAGAAAGAGCGAGCGAGAGGTGCTTTCAAAACACCCGGGAGTTCACTGAAGATCCAAGGGCGAGGTGCGACCTAATAATTATCATCCCGTGAAGGAGATGATAACACATGCCAGGTTCCCCCAAACTGGAGTCTTACTGAACTTTCTTTTTATCGGGGGACTGGGGGAAAAGGCATATGCATGTGTTTGTGAGGGAATGTACGAACACGTAATCTTTATGGCCTTTGCCGTGACGGTGTTCTACGTTCTTTTCTCACCCCTCAAACCTGTCAACACGACGGGGGGGCATGACGCCCGAGGGCGTTGGCCCGCCCTCATGCCCAGGAGAGAGAGAGAGAGAGAGAGAGTGGTGCTGTATTAACCTTGCTTAGACCGGGGGACTTACTGTGTTCTCACGCCTTCCCATGTGACATGGGGGGCCAAGTGGCCGGGAGGCCTCAACCGCCTCCCAAGCCCTGCAGAAGAAGAGGTGCTGTAGCCATTTTGGCTTAAGTGCTGCACCTGTGTGGAGTGGCCTGTGCCGTCGCTCCGCATCGGGGGGAGGCGTGGAGTTAACTCAGGGCTGTGCCCCTGAGGGAGCTTCGTCGCCTTTCCCAGCGGTGCTTGAGTCACACATCCGCTGCCGCTTTGCTCCAGAGGGGAGCCTTTTGGAACTGCCCGCCATAACCAAGAAGGGCACGATCGCAGCACTTCGCCCTTGACCGCGAACTGGTGCCTGCAAGATCTTCACCGTGGGCCTTGGCATCGGGGGGGACACGGAGTTCTGCCCCAACTGCTCCGACAGGACTGAGGCCGAGATTCGTCTGGTCTACCACATTGTGTGGGTGAGGGAGTACCACGACTCAGTGATCGTGATAGTGGCAAGCAGGGGGAGATCGCAAACTTCCATGGCTACCTGCAGGATCTGCCGTTTTGGATGAGGGGTGTGTCAACCAGGGTTCCGGATTACACGGGTGACGCAGCGCATGAACGTCAGGCTGGGGCGGTCCTATGTGTCGCCAGGACCAGAAGTGAACCCAGAGGAAACACCTTGGGCGGGCCGGAATCCTGTGGGTCGCACGCGACCCTTATGCCCAGCAGAAAGGAGAGAGAGAGAGAGAGAGAGACAGAAAGATATAGCCAAGGACTAGTATTGTACATGGTGCTTGCAAGGCTCGCAAGGCCTTCGAGAGGAAGGCGGGCTTTGCTTGTGATACTCTGCCAGATCACTGCAACTCCGTTTCACGGCCACGCAAATGAGGTCCGTCTTTCCTTGTGTTCTGTCTGTCTCTGCTGCTTTCCGTTGCTGGCTTGTAGAGATGGACAAGTTCGAGCAGATCGAGGAAGTTCGGCCCATGCAGGAAGAAAGAGTGGATTCGTAAGCACCTTTGGAGGTGGAATATGCTCGACTGGCTGCTGGCGGATGCATGGACTGATTCGTGGCAGCCAGAGGCTCAGCATGGCTCAGCACTCTTCCTCCTCTTCGAGCTCTTGGCGAGATTGGTGCTGCTGGAAGTGCAGGTGACATAAGAATGTTGTGACTTTCCCCAGTGGACTTCCTGCGTAGGGCTCAGTTGCAGAGCACCTGCTGCGATCTTCGGACTGATCTTTCACCCAAGGTTATGGCCACAACATAATTATATATTGCATGAGCAGGACCGGAGTCTGCAAAGCGTCGCAAATTGCTAAAAACGCCTCGTTTTGTTCGGTGGCATGCAGGACTGAGCCTCTGGACGTCGTTTTCAGCCTGAGCTGCAGTCTTGCGGTGAAGAGTCCCGGGTGAGACCGTGTCAATGTTTTCAGCGTGCGAAGAAGTCTGGAGCACGCGACTCATCCTGGCCTTTCCGCCGTGTACATAGCCTATACTGCTATCTGCTATACTATATCATTTATGCCAGAGCCTTGCGCTGTCAATCCCTGCCGTGAGAAAGCAATGCTTCGCTCAACAGGTCCTCACGACTCAATGCCGCCTTGTGACAGCATCCCCTCTCAGAGCGCCAGGCATCAAGCATGCTTAGCCCGTCTGCAGCAACACGCGGCGGAGGAAGCCGAGCAGGATTTGGAGGCTGTGCGCTTGGCTTCCGAGGGTGCGAGGGCTCCGGTCCGATAGTCCGGGACGTCCCAGGAGCGCGCCGCGCTGGACAAGGAGATCGAGGAGCTGAACCAGCGCCTTCTCACGAAGCGTCCTGGCCCATCAAAAGCAGATCATGACAAGTGACTAGAGTTCGACTCGTCTCAGCCAGTGTTCAACCCGCAGGGCTTTCAACATCAAGAAGGGGCTTAACTTTTGTGGTGGTGCGCGAAAGGGTTGTCACTAAGGGAAAGTGCTTCGGACATCCTCGAGAAGATGCAGCAGGAGCAGACGAGGCACCTTTGCCAAAAGGAGACCCTGAAAATCTCATAAACATGACATGGCAGAGGAAGATGGAAGAGTTCCGAACGCACGTCACCGAGAACATGGCGAAGCAGTTCGCCGATATCCAGGATCGCCCCATGAGGGGACTGGGTGTGGACGCAAGCGTGCATCTGATGACCTTGCTGTGGCACCAGCCATCATTGCGGATGCCCTTTTCTCAGGAGGAGTCGCAGCAGCAGATAGCAGGCCGGAAGAAGGAAGTGTCAGGAAGGAGCATGCAGTTGCGTCCCGCTGCCAGCCGAAGGCCTGAAGGAGGTCATCGAAGCCAAGGCCAAAGAAGGCGTGAAGCTCCTCGAGCAGCAGCACTCCGAGAGCCGCGAGGCGAGCGGTCTCGCCGAAGCTCCCGGGAGAGCGAGCGAGAGGGGGTTTTTGGGGGGGGACGGCCGGCGGCCGGGTTCCAGGCTCGCTGCAGCGTGCTGGAGGCTGCCCGAGACTTTGCCGAAGACTTGCCCACTATGCAGCGTAACTTTCCGTAAATTCTGTCGTATATCGTCGAGAATGTGCACGCACGTGTCAGCTCTGCATGTTCGGGCGGTGGTCCGGGCACGCGTCGAAAGCCCATCGGCGCGTCATCGCCGGATCAGGGTTGTGCGCCGCTGCCAGGCCGAGATCCGGTCAACAGCCCGCGCCTGTGGGGGCTTCTGACAACGAATTCGGAGTGATGCAGACACAACCACGTCTCTATAGATAGTCGCAGCTCAAGATAATATGGAGCACGCTTGAGAAGCTTGCAGCGCTGAAGCAGCAGAGGGCCTCTGGAGCCTGTGCTGTTTTGAGGAACTCGTCAGTAGAGCTGCGCAGGAGGCCGGGCCGAGAGTCGTCCTCGCGTGACGCCACGCGGCGACAAGGCGACGCGTCCGATTGGTGAGGAGGTGGCCGAGCTGCGAGTCCGATTGGCAGCCGCCCAGCAGAAGGCCGACACCTTGCAGGAGCCGCCGCCGCCTCTGTGGGCTTTCTGCCACTCTGGAGCGCCATAGCGCAGGAGCTCCAATCCGACATTGCGAAGCAACGCTCGGACTTGGAAGGAGAGAAGCAGCAGCTCAAGCAGCAGGCCGTGCAAGACGTAGGAGGAACACATATAAACGAGGAGTTTCACAGCAGCAATGTTACAGAGAGAGCGAGAGAGCGGGGGGGGTGGGGGACTGCCTTCCCCTGGCCTGTGGAAGAAGAGATGAATGTAGCCTGGTCGCCATGAAGATCCTTCGCTGGGAACATTGAGCTCGATCTGGCATGAAGGGAGGCGGGTCCAGTTAAGCCTCCAGACGAGCACACGGTGGGGATGCAACTCCCTGGCAAAAGAAAGATCTCCAGGTTTCAGGCCGAGTGCCAAGGGACAGCAACCTGCATCCCTTAACAAAGACAGTGGCTGCGCGTGTTCGTGTGGGAGACGTGCGCCCCTTGGGCCGCGGCAGGCAGAGGAGCAAGCGCAGCGTCTTGCTCAGCTTGAGCGGGAGATGGATCGCTTTCGGGTGGAGGCGGGAGGTTCACCTGAGCCCACACATACTATGGCAGGCAGTAGTTTGTTTTTTCGAGCTTCGCATTCGACATGGCTCATCAGGCCGATGTCCGCAAGGAGGAGATGGCATTGCTCGTTTGCTATAGTAGAGTCATAGAGTATATATACTTTCAATGAGAGACCTCGCACCTGGATAGCGGATTGAGCGTGTTGCTGTAAAGCTTCGAGGAAAAGCTGCGATTGGAGGCAGCAGCGGTGCTGAGCTCCGCTGACTTTCGCTAGATCAATTGCCAAAGTTTTCGGGGAGGCGGAGCGTGCCGCCGACACCACCGCAGCAGACCAGGAGCGCCGCACCTGGCAGGAGCGCGAGGCGCCCCCCCCGCCCCGGCCAGTCCCCGTCTCTTCTGTGGTGCCCACATCTTCCCACGTTCAGGCCGAGCTGCAGGCCACCATTGCGGCCTTGAGGTGCGCTTCGCAGAGTCACCTGAGTCACCTGCCACGCTACCGCTCCAGCAAATGGCTTGCTGAGGACGGAGTGCCTGGCCCAGCTTGGCGTGTCCTTTTGGTGTCCTTGCAGGGCTCCTGAGTCCTGAGTCTTGTCCCCGTTCAAGGCAGGAGATGGAGGAGAAGTCTCTGCAGGATCTCGGTCACAAGGCGCCACGTGGATGCAGCACCCTGACTGTAATCCGAGAGATGAAAGCTTTTGCATGGAAGGACCAGGACTGCCGGAACGAGATCGTAGCTTTGGAGCGCCGTGCGGAAGAACTCGAGGTCAGCACGAAGCGTGACGCTCTAGCTCCTGTATCTGCATCAGTCAGAAGCCAGGCGAGCGTGGAAAAGGTACAAAAAGACATGCAGCTCGTGGAGGACGGCTGTTTGTTCGTTAGTGAGCCTGATGCTTCAACAAGTGTCTGTCATATAAACAAATAAATACATATACATACACATATATATATATATATACACACATACCCAGTTCCGACTTGCTGAGGACCAGAAGGCCGAAGCTTCTTACAGCCACTGGGGACTCTCATGACTCATGAGCGTGACTGCGGTGTGGCAGGCATACCTGGATCTTGACATCCAGAGCTTTCGGGACGCGCAGGACATTCAGAATTCCGCGAGTGTTTCAGGGGCAGGCGATTCGCTTCGCATCGCTCTGCGTCTTCGCCAGGCGAACCTGCAGGCAGATACGGTGAGCCAAGTCGATCATCTCGAGGCAAAGCTGAAAGCCTCCAAGAAAAAGCAGAGGGACCTGGAGGCACGAAACTCTTCGCATCTCTACCCTCAAGCCCGCATCTGCAGTCTAAATGCAGGAGATGCTAAACGAGGTGCGGCACTTGGTTCTGCCACTCTGTACTTGGATCAGGGTTCCCCGAATTCCGAACTCTCGTGTGTGCAGACGTATGCCTTTCTTGCTGCGGACAGCAAGCGACGGTCTCGAAGACAGAGTAAGGCCTCGTCGTGGTGTCTCAGATGTCGGGTGCACCGAGTATTGCAGTCTCTGAAGCAATGCTGACCTCGTGACTGAAATCCTGCAGGTGTCGCGCTGAGAATGCGGCTGCTCCAGCCCCATTCGCAGATTTTAACTGGGGCCTTAAGCATTTTCTGCCGCAGGCACCAGGCAGGCCGCACTTTTCCGCTTGGCTGGCCTGCTGGCATGTAGCTAGAGTAGGACATAATTGCTAGGACTAGTTTAGAAGTTTAGACCTGCGGAAATATGCGCAGGACTTCGATGGGCTACATCGGATCATCGGTTTCAAACCAAGAAGGTCATGCCATATACCGGCTTCCTGAGCAAGCCTGCGCTGTGAACCTTGAACCCTTGCATGCTCTCAGTCGCCTTTGGTCGTCAAGGGGACCGCCTCCTACCTTGGAGCTCTGTTGAGAGTTGCTCATGTTGCAGTGCTTCTCCCGGCTGGCCAAATGGCGCGCTGGCTGACTGCGGAATTCGCAGCGTACCCGAGCCGTAAATTGAAGCCATCCGCTAGGTCCGAACTTGAGCACACCCTGCAGTCCCAGTTAAGGTGGTACCTGGTCATTGCCTGGGCCTTCTTGGTGAAGCTGCCTTTTGCAGCGGCGGAGTTGGCTGCCATCTGTGCGGAGGATGTAAGGCCACCAGTCACTGCAATTTTTCTGTTCAGGCTGCTCCAGTCCGCCCCCGACCGCCAGGTGCAGCTTGTTTCTTCACAAGACTCGGCTTTGGCCGCAGCAGCTTTGCCGCAGCAAGTTGCGCCCTGTTTGTGTCCATTTAGCAAGCCATACTCGATATATATAGGCAGCAGATTGACCTCTCAGACATTCAGTGGCAGGGGTCTTACTTGCTGTTGGAGCTTCACCATGTAGGACTCTGCTGCCCGTCTGCTGGCAGGCGTGAGTTCCGCAAGGCCAGGCAACTTGAGACGCAAAGGGCGCATAAGAAAAACGCAGCTCTTGCAGCTGGCTCTCTTTGCAGTCCCTGCCGTTGTTGACCTTGGCCGCTGGACTGCACGTGGCCGTTCGAGCCACATTCGGCAGAAGGAGGCGGCGAAGAGCTGTGCAAGTCTGTGTCCGTGACGAGCACCTGCCCAAGGGTATGGCCTTGCTTGATGTTGTCCTGCCTCTTTGTGCTGTACGTGCGTCTTGCCTGCAAAAGCAAGCGCAAGTACGCACATGGCATGGTCTTTTGGTTTCTCTTTCCAGATCGCCGAGGCACGGTGGTCACACGATGGTGCTTGCAACTCTTGCCTGCGGATCCTTTGGCATCGCGAAAGCCTGCGGTGCCACCATGCCTTGCGTTTTGTCTGGTCCGGTCAGTGATTTGGTCAGAGCTTGCAGAGTGGCTTTGGAAGGACGTTTAAGCATGCATGTCCCAGCCAGAGATCCGCGGCTTCTGCTCGAAAAGTTTGGCAAGGTAGCCAAGACTTGTAGAGGGGAATTGTCAAGAGTGGAGACTTGTAGAGGGTGTGTACAGAGCTGAAGCTCTGGATGCAGGGACCGTCACGGCCATCACGGTCGATTCAAAGAGGGATGGGCTATCGGGGCTACGCAGATGTCACCGCTGTCACCACAGAAGAGATTCCACTCGATGAGGACCTTCTTGGCAGTTTCTGCCGGCGAGGTCGAAGACGGTTAAGGGAACTTCAGGAGGCGACTCAAACCATCGTAAGACTTGATCGTGCCCGTGGCTGCCTTTCCGTGACCGGTACAGAGCCGGCTGCTCAGCGAAGATTCTCTTTTCTCGCGCAGTGCCTGCCGGTGAGGGCAGCAGATTCGGCACACCGAGGTCGTGCATCTCCGTCGTCAAGCGACACTTAGCAAGCCTGGGTGGCCCTCGGCGGGATGTCGGGGCGCCTGTGTGGGCAGAGCTGATGAGGACCTGCCAGCAGTGTGTGCACTGAATGGGTAGACCGTATAGAGTCGCAGCATCTCCGCGGGGGCTGCGAGGACTCGCACGGTACAGCGAGACGAAGCAGCCCTAGCACGGATCCAGGCGGAGAGTGGATGCAGAGTCCACATCGAGCGACAGCAACGGGAAGTGCGGCTTTTCGGGCCTGTAGACTCCGTGGCGCTTGCGGAGAGCCTTTTGAAGGAACTCGAGGAGGAATGCTGCGAAGACGTGGTTTTGGAATCCTTGGACACAGAGACAGATCTGGAGACGCTGCAAGCTTCACTCGAGCCTCTAGCAATGGACCACAATGTAACCTTGTGCATCGACAAGAGCCTAGGCCTCAGGGTCTTCGGACTCAAGGCCGCTGTAAAGGCGGCTTCAGCGGAGCTGAAGGAACTTCTGGCGCCAACCCAAACCTTCTCGAGCTTGGAGGATCGCCTCAGGAGCCGCAGCATCCGAAATAGCGAGTCGGAGCGCATTGGGGTGGTCTTGACCCAGATGCCACCGGAAAGGGCACACTCCCAGGCGCCGCACTCCCAAAATGGGAACGGGCCGAATTCGGCCCAAACCTTGGCCCAAGCTTCCAAGTCAGCGCAGGGACCCGGAGCCTCCCAGTCCTTGCACAGCAGCCTGCACGTGGAGCCGCTCATGGGCTCCAGGCGCTCACCCGTGACCTACCGCCCCGGAAGCCCGTTTTGGATTTCCAAGTCTGGAAAGGGGGAGCTACAGTACTATTAGTTCTATGTGCTATATATATGATAAAGACCGAATCAAAGCAGCGTTTGAATCCGCCGCGCTCGACTCCAGGCGGGGAGTCCGTTGCCCGACCTGCGGCTGCGGCCGCTTCTGCGGTTTCTTCACAAAAGCAAAACGCTCTCTCTTGTGTTTGGCTTTTTGCTTCTTCGTTTTGGTCATTGCATAAATCATATGTAGGAGTCTTTCTCATAATTCTCATGAGGCGTCTGTGGATCTGAGATCTGGCAGCTGGGCGTCCTGGCGCCGGCACCGGTCCAAGTTCAGAGCATGGCAGGCCTCAGTGGCTTCAAGAACGACGACACGCCAGGGACGCCGGACCCTTACGAGAGTCATCCATACGAATACGAGATGCAAGGGCAAATGCCAGTGATGGAGGCTCAACCAATGATTCCCATGTACTCAGTAAGCCAGTGCGGAGCTGCACCCTACATGATGCTAGTGCCCATGGCCACAAACACGATGCAGAACTCCAATTCTCAGCAGCCTTTCATTTCGCAAAGTGCTTCTGCAGAGTAGTTCCGTACCTGTTGAAGGGCACTGGCCTGCAAGTGGCAAGCCGATGGCAAGATGCCAGAAGCCCAGCAGCGCCTGTGTCGCCAGTGGCGGCCCGCCTCTTGCAGAGAAACCCTGTCCTGCTGCGCACTGCACAGTGTTGCTTCCGATGCACTGCTGGGCTGGGAAGTGAGAGCCTAGTAATCGCAAAGAGGAGTCGGAAGCCTTGCGTTCAGGTTGCTCTCAGTTCCCACCTGCTTGAGCAAGCGGGCACCTTCGACCCCCTCCCACAAGCGACCGAATCAAGGTCGGCTGGCAAGAGCCTGATGTGACTACTGTAACCATACTTTGTTGTCATGAGGGGAGTGGAAAGGAAAAGGGTGCAGACTGCAGTCTCTGTGCAGTCGATCCTCAATTGAGGAACGTAGCTCCGCTGAGTGCCCGCAATCAATCTGGTTCCGACGTAGCTTCGTGTAATTCGATATGCTTCAGGTGCATGGTGCGGACTCCAAATCAAATCATACTTTGACTGTCTAAGAGTGATTAAGCAAATCATCACATCTTTCCTGGTTCCTGCATGGTGATGTTCGCATCCCTTTCTGTGTGCCGGGCTCATCTGAACAGATGTCCGAGCTTTGCAAAGAGCCCTAATTTTCGCCACCGTCGGCCATCCGTCACTGTCTGCCGCGGCGCAGTGACACGAAAGACTGTACAGCCACACTGAAGCGGTTTGCGATTGGGTGGTGGGAAGGCAGCTGCACATTTGTAATGCAAGGCACAGGTCTGGCACCTTAGTTATAAGAGCCTCTTCAAGACGAGACTGCATAGCACTGATAGCACTGTGCCAAGAGCTTCCTTGCAGCATCTGTCAGACCTCCTTTAGCAGCCCTTTGTGGATTTTCAGCGCCGGTTTTCTCGCAGTGCTGAGTCACACTGAGTATACTGCATGCCGCAATATGCTGGCGATCATTCCTTGGCGCGAGAGTTCCTCATTCCAACCGATGAAAACTCGCAGAAAGAGCTGCCGCAAGATGCCTCTTGAGGCATCCTGCAGTCCCATCGCAACGCCCATCTAGCCCGAGATTTTCGGCATTCAGCATAGCGCCCATGAGCCAATAGCAGGTGCCTCGAGATGCGCGCCGGTCGCTGCCTGGGCTGTCGGACTTCTCTTGCTGGGGATCAAAGCCCTGGAGGTGCCGGGCCAAATGACCGGGCAGAACATATGAAGGGCTCATAATAAGGAGGCACCGGTTTCTGAAGCTACCTCCACAAGTGCTGTAGCTTGATCTTTTGTGCATATACTAGACTGTAGTACTGGTCGAGCTGCTCGTGCTCGTTAGTGACGATGGTAAGTCTGCATGCAGATCGCTTTGCACGTGTCTGGTTTAATATGAATCGGATCGATTTTCACGCGTCCTGAACGAAGATCCACATCTGAGAGCTTGTCAACAGTGGAGAGGCACTGATTGAAAGATAGACGGAGCGCATTCCAACACAGCCAAGTTGAGCGTCGATTGACAAATGTTGCGTTTGAGCGTTTAAGTTTAGATTTGTTCCTTCAGAGATGATTTCGAGTCGCATAGGTGCCAGTCCCTGTCTTGGATCCGTGGCTGCATGGCCTTCCGACCGCCTACGCCAGCCTCCCGGGACAGCCTCCCGGGACGCTATCTGCGTGAGCCGATGCTTGAGTCTTGAGTGCTTCAAACAAGGACTGGCATCAGTGGAGCCCTCAGTGGTCTTTGTGTCTTTGTCCTCAGCGGCGATCCTGCGCCCTGGGGCCCTGGGCACTAGGCTGAAGCTGCAAGGCTCCGCTCACCCGTGTAAATGTTCTGCGAGTCAAGTCAGGTCTTTGCACTTCCTCAGCCTCAAGCTCATCTCTTTCAACATGGCGGCTCGGCAAAACGGACATGGATAGCACAAATTGAGCAGCCATTTTCGTTCGCGATCCGTACATTGCACAGGATCGTCCTAATCTGCACGAGCCTTTTCTGCGCTCATCCTTGCGATGGACAATCAGATTGGAAGCTTTCCCTCTCTTCTTGAGCAGCCACGCTTCCGTAGTTAATGGTGTCTCTGTTGCTGTTGCTGCTCTCGCTGTTGCTGTCGCTGCTGCTATCTGCTGCTGCTGCCGTTGCCGTTGGTGTTGTTGCGGTCGTGGTCGTGTTTGTGGTGGTTGTAGTTGTGGTTGTGGTTGTGGTTGTGGTTGTGGTTGTGGTTGTGGTTGTTGTTGTTGTTGGTACAGAGAAAAACAGCAGCCCGTAGTTGTTGGTAATTAGAAGCAATTGGGAATGCTTCCGGCGACCGCATAGGGTGCCTGTAGAGTTTTGGGAAGTTCAAGCCATGCCTGTCCCATGATAGAAATGCAATGTAGGCTGGGTGGTTGTTGTAAAGGGGGGGGGTCAAAACAACAGACGGGGCTCCAGTTTTTGCCTCTACTACACGGGGTAGAGACAAAGGCACCAGCGAAATCAGGACTTTGTCTCTACCCCCTGTAGTAGAGGCAAAAACTGGAGCCCCGTCTGTTGTTTTGACCACCCCCCCTTTGCAACAACCGCCCACATTGCGCCACATTTCCACCACAGGTATAAGAATCTGCGATATCCAGAAAGGGGTCTGATGGGTGTTGGAAGGGCTTGTCTGGAATTTTGAGGGGTTTGCATTGGATACCCGTACACTCAAAAGTATAGTTACCAGTTACTATACAGTAGTTTGTTTGTACAGGCCGCGCAAATGCATATTCTGCACGGCGGGGAACTGAAATACACACCAAATCCATTGAAAATACACACCAAATCCACTGAAATATACACCAAATCCACCGAAATACACATTAAATCTGTTGACCATCAGGTCGTTGATCTTGAACCCCAGACTCCATGGCAAATCGGCGACGAGCCCTAAGTAACGTAGTTACGCAAAGAAACTTCGAGGGTTGTGAAGGGAATCGGGAGTCCTGGCAGGGATGACCTCTAAGATCCTAACCCTACCAAACACCCCAACACCCCCGAAAAACCCAAAGCGCCGGCTTACAAACGGACTGAAAGTCCTCACCTCAGCTCGGCACGTTTTTTCCATCTTGAGCCAACGTTCCCGCCGGTCAGCTGCTCCAGAGGCATCTGTGCACACTCTTTACAGCTGTACTTATGCGGAACTTTCCCTCTCTCTAGAGGATCAGCACATCCCAGCCTTCTTAGCTGTAAGACAAAACAAGGGCTCGCATTATGCTAAGCACCACATGTGGTCCTGCATTCCAACACTCCTCCTCGTGTTGTAGGCCGACCCGGAAACACGCTCCTTCCGATCGGCTGGACCACACTGAACAAGTCATCCTTGGTGCTGATAAAGCCTGCTTCGGCGCTCACAGTAGTGACAAAGTGTCACCTGTCTCCTCCTCGTCATTGCATTCCGAAGCCCATGGCATGTAGGATCATAGTGAACTCTATCACCATGCTCGCTCATCACAAAGGGTCCGCCAAACTGAACATAACCATCTGGCATAGGATCAGTCTGGACTATCGCCTCTGTCGTAGCTGGAACACGACGGGTTGGGGTACGCAGCGGCGATGGCTGCGGAGTGGAGCGTCTCGCCCTCACAACAGGCGAGGGAGGATCAGGTTCATCAAGGCCATCCAAGGAGTACCGAGCAACTTCTTCTTGCACTGTTTGTTGTAGTCGTCGGAGCCTCCTGGCCCCTCTTGACTCTTCCACAGAGCCCGTTTTCTTCAAGGAAACCCACTCAAAGAACCACTTGATGGCTTCCCACACACCAATAGCCGCTATCAGCCCCAAAATCATCAACCCATACAGCTCCCACGGCATGCTAACTTCAATGCTTGATTCCATTGGCCGAGCAGCCCTGGAACCCTGGACCATCCAGCCCAGCATGAGCACAAGCTTCGCCAACACTGCAATGGTGCCGTTCATCTTCGCTGGGTAGTCCGACTGGATCGCCTCGTTAACGGCATTCGGAGTGCGAAGACCCCATAGAGCAAGAAGTTCCTGAAGCCGAGGACGGTGAAACGCCTTGGTTCCCAGGTCACCCAGTTGTTCTTTTCCGGGAATGTGCTCAATCTTGAGCTCCCGAAGACGCACCGCCTCTCGTAAGTGAAAGGCCCTCACCTTCAAGTGCCGCGTCTTCCAGGTCCCCCCGGCCTCATTGCTTAATCCCACCGCCGCAGCATTGTCAACCTTGACGACAATCTTCGCCGGGTTCTGGTGGAGTTCCTCCGTAATGACGGAGATGCCGTAGGCCATCTGCGTCGTGTTGATGGTCTCGACCAGTTCCGCTTCTGCGACTGAGAGAGACACTAGGGCTTGGCGCCCCGAACGCCAGGCCACAGGCTGTCCGAGGTAGCACGTGACACTACATCCCACACTCCTGTTCCCTTGTGGTGCGAACGATGCATCCGAGTAGGCCTCAATGAAATGGTCCTTGCGTTCGGGGCTCGGTTCGTAAATCAAGCAAAGGTCAACGGTCTCCTTCAAGTAGCCCAAAACGCGCAAGCCAATTCGCTCTACCAGCACAGGATTTTTTAAGCACCACGAGGACATTGTAGATATCGCATGCATGAGGTCCGGCCTAGACTTGCCACTCAGCCACAAAATTTCTCCAGTGAGCGCCTGCGCATTCCGGAGCTGCTTGGGGGAATACGTTTCTTCGTCGCACTCCCCTTCTCCAAGTAACCACTCTTGTGGGCACGGGGTGGCATGCCCCCTGGCCTCAGACAGGCCATGATGCCGGAGAAGTTCCTCAATGTAGCCCCGCTGGTGGATTGCGATTCCACCTCCACTGGTACGGCCAATCTCAAGACCCAGAAACCGAATGCTGGTTTCCTCAGTCGCCCATGACAGCTCGGAGGCTTTCCACTCACTCGTCAACCACGCTTGCACGGCCTCAATGATCTCGACTTCCCCCACATAGAGGATGTCGTCCACATACACATTGATGTAGGCCTTCACTTCCATAGACCCATCACCCGAAACAACACAGACCGACCAAATGTTTTCGTCGGCTCGATGTTGTCGGAGGTAGATGTAGCCATCGCCAAACGGGATTTTTGCACTCCTCAGCCTTTTATCCCTGAACCGTCCCCATAGGCGAGGTGACCGACGGAAGCCATAGAGCGCCCGATCCACCCTCCATAGTTGCATGGCATACTGAACACGGGCCAGCTGCAGCACCTTAGGGGGGTAGAGACCGTACACCGTCTCCTCGTCATCATCTTCATCCTCTCTGATCGGTGCCAGGATAAAGGCATTACGAATGTCCGTGGACGCTAGGTACCACCCTCTAGCGGCACCATACACCAACATGACCCGCAGGCTGTCTGTTTGGCAACCTCCCGCATAGGACTCTTCCATAGACTGCTTGCCCTGGAAGTTCCCACAGATCACCAGCCTCGCCTTCCGTTTGTAAAACGCCGGATCACCGGGAGGTAGAGGACGTCCATCATCATCAACAACCACCTCCTGATCCGGGGGCTTAACAGTGAATACCCCCTTTGCTGGGAGAACCACCAATTTCCCTGACCTTTCCAGGGCCCTCTGTTCTTCAACCGTCACGGGAACCAGCGCCTTGGCCTTGATCAAAGCCTCCGCTTCCTTGATGATGGCCTCGGACCAGCGACTGATATGCTGCTTGACTTCGTCCAAGGCAACCGTGTAAACCACCTTCAAAGGCCCCGGCAGCGACTCCAACAAAGTTTCAACACCATGAACTTCATCAGAGCCCTCTGTCATACGGCACAAAGAAAACCAGCTTCCAGCATCATGTCGATCGCAGTGGATTACCGCCTCACGAGAATCCAGGGCCTCACCGGCGGTCCTGGTCGCGTTGCCCACAGCCTCTAGATCCTCTTGGAGTTGGTGAGGAACCCTTGAAGACAACTGCTCCTCCTCATCCAACAAACGTCTAGTCCACATACGGGTCCACATCTCGGCCTCAACATCCTCAGGCTCCGGGAACCAACACGGACCATTAGGAACCTCTCCATCATCAGAACCGTCACATACCCGAACCGTCTTTAGCATGGGAGGATCCTCTGGTACAGGGAGAGGGAAACCAAGACCACTCAGCTCTTGACGATGATCACCATCCAGCTTTCTCAATTGGCCAACGGTGTGGGCAATGAGCGTCCACTTGGGTCCGCCAGTCCAAGGCATTGTCTTGTGCAGCCTCTTTGGATCTACTTTGACCACTTGGTTCAGCACAGGCGCCACAAATCCAACCTTTTCTTCTCCGGAACATAGCTCCAACCGGACCGTAGGAAGACCTTCTTGCGAGCCTTCTTGCCAAATTCCTCCTCCCTGGAAGTCGCCAAGGGTGAGAACATAATTTCGCGACCCCCGGAGATTGAAACGATCCTTGTGGGCATCCGTACAGAGGTCCTTGGCAACCGTTATGGACGAGAAAACAGCTTCCTCCCCACACTGGTACTTCATCACGGCTGCAAGATAAGCTGCTAGCTTCCCATGTCTAGCAGTCGCTGTTGTAAGGCCGGTCCAAGGTCCCCGCTGGTACGCTCCGAGCGTGGTGTGGATGGAGGGCGGGTCATTGGACTGCCATGCTGCAGCCCTTTGTTTCTTGGTCTTGCAGAACCGCTCGCTCTCAAGAACTTGAAGACAGTCCTGAACCGAGAACCGCCCTTCCCGAAGGTAAACATCAGCCAAAGACTCTGCCGTATCTCGACCAGACTTCCGAGAGGTAGAGCTGGTCATTCCATTCTCATTGCCAACCGAAAAACCACTCGAAACAACATCATCAGAAGAGGCCCCTTTATCCACATCATGCATCACCGCCAAAGACCGCAAAGCACTTCCACCACTTGCTGGCCCATCCCCAACCTTGTCAAAGCCCGGGATCAAACCAACACCTCCTGCAAGTTCCAC